GCCACCACTGTTTCTGCGGCATGCATGGCTCTGCGATGCTGCCTACCGCGTTTCGCATTAAAGACCTTCCAACTTGGAGAGCCAATCATGACCAATGCGGCAATCCTGGTTGTGACGGTGCCCCTGGCTCGCCCTACCTCCACGCCATGCCACCAGGGCGAGGCGGCTGCTGGTAGCATCGTGGTTCTGCCATGCCCCAAGCATCACCTCCCCTGGCTCGGCCTACCTCCACGCCATGCCACCAGGGCGAAGCGGCTGCTGGTAGCAGTCGCTGGGAGGTAGGGGGGAGGAGGAGAGGGAGCAGGGAGACAAATATATATGATCAGCAGCGGAGGGCGATAGGGGCATGGAGGGGAAGATGGGTGATGTGGGAGGGAGGGAGACGTGGTGCCTGAGGGTGTGATGGGTACGGTGAGATGGTGGGGGAGCAAAGGGGAAGGTAAAGGCGGGCAGGAGGAGGGGGATGCGTGAGGGGTAGAGACACTTGGAGGAAAAGATTGGGTGATGTGGGAGGGAGGGCGAAGTGGGGCCTGATGGTGCGATGGGTATGGTGCGATGGGTATGGTGCGATGGGTATGATGCGATGGGTATGATGCGATGGGTATGGTGCGATGGGTATGGTGCGATGGGTATGGTGCGATGGGTATGGTGCGATGGGTATGGTGCGATGGGTATGGTGCGATGGGTATGGTGCGATGGTTAGGAAGCAAAGGGGAAGATAAAGGCGTGAAGAGGCAGAGGGGGAGGGGGAGAGACACGGCATGTGCATTGCTCTTATTGAGAGTTGAACTCAAGACCTCCCGCTTACTAAACGGGTGCTCTAACCAACTGAGCTATGAGAGCTGTTTTCTTCGTTTTTGTAAGAGGAATCGTGGTGTGCATGGGGTTGCGATAACTGATCTAATATGCAACGGTGCCATGGAAGGAAGGAAGGTGGGGGGGCCGAGGGTGGGAGTTGGGTGGGAGAGAGGGATGTAAATGGAAGACACGGCCTCGCTCTTCTCTCCCATCCCGTGCCAACTTGCCTGACTGCCTCTATCCTTCACCGCCTCGACTGCAGCTGCTGCCACAAGCCATGGCTCTACCATGCTGTCCTGCTGTATGTTTTAGACCGAGCAGGGTGCTGCTGGTTCTGCATGCACAATACCAAGCAGGGTGCTGCTGGTTCTGCATGCACAATACCAAGCAGGGTGCTGCTGGTCCTGCATGCACAATACCAAGCAGGGTGCTGTTGGTGTGGAAAGGGAAAGGTCAGAGGGGAAGGAAGAAGGTCCGGGGCGGGGCTTACTGCTTAGAGAAGGGCGGAGGTGGAAGACAGCCGATGATGGCATTGCAGGACAGCAAATTTGTTTCGAGGCGCCTCCCCCCCAAAAAAAAAAGTTTCGAGGCGACTTTTGAGGCACCTCTTAAGGCGGAGATGGAAGAGAGCCGATGATGGCATTCCATGATAGCAAACTAGTTTTGAGGCGCCTTCCAAAAAAACTAGAGTTTTGAGGCGCTTCAAAGGGCGGAGGTGGAAGACAGCCGATGATGACATTGCAGGACAACAAACCAGCAGTGCAGAGATGAGAGGTAGCGCAGGAATGAGACGCATGGGGAAGCAGAGCTCAGGTTAGACATGGGCATAATACCCGACGGGTCGGGTCGACCCGTCCCGTCCTGCATTTTTTGGCGGGACGGGTCAGATTGCCAAGACATGCCGACCCGCGGGTACGGGTCGACATGTCCGGGACGAATCGGGTCGACCCGTGACCCGTTTTAACCCCATCCGAACGGGACGGGCCGACCCGTGCGACCCGTAGGGGGAGAACGACCTGTTCCATATACGGGTCGTTACTAGGAAAAACGGGTTGGGACCCGACGGAAAAACTTGGAATGACATTTGCGGGACCCGACCCGTTTGCGGGTGGAACGGGACCCGCAAATGTCATTCCAAGTTTTAGGTCATTGCGGGTCGACATTTCGAACCTCCAACTTCAGATCTGGTTGCGACTAACCAGATCTTGTCTTAGACCTAAGCCTTACAACTACTGCAGATTCCTTGACGAAGAAACTTAACTGAAAGCCAACGAAAGTTATGCATACTTAATCATCCATGCAAAATTTCAGTTCAACACTATATTTTGCATGTACACATCAGAAAAAAAACCATGTATGCTAAAAAAAAACCCTAAGGCCTAAATGGGTCACTGATACCCGTCCCGTTTACGGGTTGACCCGACCCGCCACGGGTCACAATCGACACGTGCATGTATAGACGGGACGGGTCACTAGAATAGCCAGGATAGCGACCCGCGGGTCGACCCGACCTGTACCCGTACCCGTCACAGGTCACCCAAAACGGGTACGGGTCGACCCGACCCGACCCGTTGCCCATGTCTAAATTGAATTGCACTCACCATCAGTGATGCCATCCAACACAACAGGTGGTTTCCTTTTGAACGCATAAGATGAGGTCTACCTTCCCCAATTGTGCATGAGCCATTCATGGGAGATGTTGAGTATTCAATTGAACTGCCAAGTGCCGAATTATTCACCTGCAAACCGTTATCGTAAAACAACCCACACAACGATCCAACAAACAAAAAGGGCCAATGAACCAAACACCAGCCTTCCTCTGATTTTTCTTCACGGCAGGCTGTTTTTTGGAGGCAGGCTGTTTCTATGCATGGTCCAAAAGAAACACCACTCCACTAGCCGTGAATATTGAGGTGACTTTTGAGTCGACTCAAAAGTCGCATGGTCCAAAAGAAACACCACTCCACTAGCCGTGAATATTGAGGTGACTTATGAGTCGACTCAAAAGTCGCATGGTCCAAAAGAAACACCACTCCACTAGCCGTGAATATTGAGGTGACTTTTGAGTCGACTCAAAAGTCGCATGGTCCAAAAGAAACACCACTCCACTAGCCGTGAATATTGAGGTGACCTTTGAGTCGACTTAAAAGTCGCATGGTCCAAAAGAAACACCACTCCACTAGCCGTGAATATTGAGGTGACCTTTGAGTCGACTCAAAAGTCGCATGGTCCAAAAGAAACACCACTCCACTAGCCGTGAATATTGAGGTGACCTTTGAGTCGACTCAAAAGTCGCATGGTCCAAAAGAAACACCACTCCACTAGCCGTGAATATTGAGGTGACTTTTGAGTCGACTCAAAAGTCGCATGGTCCAAAAGAAACACCACTCCACTAGCCGTGAATATTGAGGTGACTTTTGAGTCGACTCAAAAGTCGCATGGTCCAAAAGAAACACCACTCCACTAGCCGTGAATATTGAGGTGACTTTTGAGTCGACTCAAAAGTCGCATGGTCCAAAAGAAACACCACTCCACTAGCCGTGAATATTGAGGTGACTTTTGAGTCGACTCAAAAGTCGCATGGTCCAAAAGAAACACCACTCCACTAGCCGTGAATATTGAGGTGACTTTTGAGTCGACTCAAAAGTCGCATGGTCCAAAAGAAACACCACTCCACTAGCCGTGAATGTTGCAAATCACCCCTTCTGCTACCAGGTCTGTCGCACCTAGGGATGAGCAATATGACGAACTCCTGTTCGGTTCGCCTCGAACGTGTTCGAGGCGAACCGAACAGGATTTTTTTTTGGCCTAAATTGTTCGGGGCGAACGTGTTCGGTGTTCGCCCGAACACGTTCGCCGTTCGCCCGGCTCAGCTCGCCGAGGCGCGTCGAACATGAACGTGTTCGTGTTCGACACGGGCCTTCGACAAACACCAATGTGTTCGTCGACAAATAGGCCCGCGACCAATTTTTAGGTCGCGGGCCTTGGTGTTTGGGCTCAGATCTGGCCTTTCGCAGTTAGTACAGTGCAGATCTAGCATTTTGCCATTGCTTAAGTGCAGATCGAGCATTTCGCCGTTGCTTAAGTGCGGATCGAGCATTTCGCCGTTGTTTAAGTGCGGATCGAGCATTTCGCCGTTGCTTAAGTGCGGATCGAGCATTTCACCGTTGCTTAAGTGCGGATCGAGCATTTCGCCGTTGCTTAAGTGCAGATCTAGCATTTCGCCGTTGCTTAAGTGCGGATCTAGCATTTCGCCGCTGCTTAAGTGCGGATCTAGCATTTCGCCGTTGCACGCTGGCACTAGATGGATGAAGCAGGGCGGGACTGGCTTGGGAGGTGGGGGGAGAGAATGTGCGACGATTTGAATTTTACTCTATATTGAATTTCCCCCTGGGCGAACACGAACATGTTCGCCACGAACATGTTCGTGTTCGCCTGTTGCAGCAATTCGTTCGCCTCCTAGGGCGAACGGCGAACACCTATTTTCACTCAAGTCGTTCGCCGAACCGAACACTGTTCGGTTCGGCAGAAGGCCATGTTCGTCAGGGGGCGAACACGAACATGTTCGAGTTCGCCCCCTGCTCATGCCTAGTCGCACCTCTTGAATCAGTCTGCTGATTTTCTGCTAGAAACAAACCTTTTTGTCTGCGACACACACTTATCACCCTCCCTCCTTGTCTTGGCCACCCATGCCACTCACATGCAAGGTCTAAAAGGTCCCATGTCTCCCCCTTGCCCCTTCCCCTCGCCCTGCCACAAACACTCGTCCACCAGTGCGCCAGCCAAGTGCGGTTGTGCGCCCAGTAGCGACTCACATGCCACTCACATCACTACCCATGCCACTCACGTGTAAGGTCTCTGCTGGAGCAACGACCGGAGGCTCCTTTTCTCCCCCTTGCCCCGCCCCCTCGCCCTGCCACAAACACTCGTCCACCAGTGCGCCAGCCAAGTGCAGTTGTGCGCCCAGTAGCGACTCACGTGCCATGCCAACCACATCCCGTGTTACTCACATGCATGCCCCTGGCACTTAACATGCAAGGTCTCTGCAGGAGCAACAACTGGAGGTCCCTTCTTCCCCCTTGCTCTCCCCCCCCCCCCCCCCCCCTCCTCCCCCACCCCTGCCATACGCCCTCGTCCACCAGCGAACCAGCAAAGTGCAGCTGAGCGCCCAGCAGCGACTCACATGCCACTCACATGCTTGGTCATGCCACACGCGTGCCACTCACATGCAAGGTCTCTGCTGGAGTAACGACCGTGGGCTGCTTCCCTCCCCCGTCCCCCTCCCCCTCGCCCTGCCACACGCACTCGTCCACCAGTGCGCCCGCAAAGTGCAGATGAGCGCCCAGCAGCGACTCTCCCACCACCATGAAGCTGAGGCAGGCAGGCAGGGGAGGGGAGGGAGGCCAACATGGAACAAAACATTTGGTTATTCAACGTAACGGGTCAGATTGGTATGAAGTGCACCTGAGCGCCCAGCAGCGACTCACCCACCCCACCACCATGAAGCTGCCCAGCAACAGCACGCATGGGAGGGAGGGGAGGGCGAGGAACGTGGAGGCTTTGATTATCCAAGTAACGGTGAAGATGGTTTGAATGGCTCCAAGTGCACCTGACCGCCCAGCGGCGAGGCGACTCACCCACCCCACCACCATGAAGCTGCCCGGATGGGATGGGAGGGCATTGAGAGGAACGTGGAACGCTTGACAGGAATATGGATGGGATGGGGTGGGAGGGTGGGAGGGAGGGCACCTTGGAACGTTCGGTAATCCAGAACTAATGGGTAACATGGGTTGAATGGAAATTTGTGGCTCTTAGTGGGATAGCTGAGGAGATGGTGAAGGTGGTCAGGGAGGAGAGCGGTGAGGAACTTTGAAGTGGCGTACAGATGGCGCGACGCGCCGTGCGAGCGCGGAGGGTTGAGGGGTGCTTGAGAGATGCTTGACTCGTCTGCATGGCTAAATCCGTTTTTCTGAGAACTACTCTAAGAAAAAAAAAGATATGCTCGACTCGTCTGCATGGCGCCACGCAAGGCGACGAGCTTTTGGTACCTTCCGGCTTGGCTCAGGCGCTTCACCTGCCGTCCCACACACAGCAGCGCCTTGCCTCACCTGCCGTCCACCTAGGGATGAGCAAAGGGCGAACACGAACATGTTCGTGTTCTCCCCTTCTCGAACACCCTCTTTTGCCGAACCGAACACTGTTCGGTTCGGCGAACAGTTTAGGCAAAAACAGGTGTTCGCTGTTCGTCTGTGGAGGAGTGTTCGGGCGAACCTCGAACACGTTCGTGTTCGCCACGGGGCGTTCTGCAGCAGCGCCACGAACACGAACGTGTTCGGGCGAACCTCGAACACGTTCGGAGCGAACCTCGAACACGTTCGGGCGAACGATTTAAGCTGAAAAACAAAACCTATTGTTCGAGGCGAACCGAACAGGTGTTCGCCACCTTGCTCATCCCTACGTCCACCTGTTGTGTGCCTTGCCTCACCTGTCGTCCACCTGTTGTGTGCCTTGCCTCACCTGTCGTCCACCTGTTGCGTGCCTTGCCTCACCTGTCCTGGCCAGTGCGGTAAGTGCTGACGACAGCAAACAAGCTGATGCTCGTCGGGTGCACTCGGAACGCCCCACGCCGCCTCGCCTCCCCCCTCCGCTCCACCATCGCCTCCCCCTCCAGCACCGGTCCCCTCTCCACCGCCGCTTCTCGCATCGCCGCCCGGCCCACTAACACTGCGACCACTGTCGCCGGCAGGGCACGCGGGACATTCGCACACGGGAGGCGGCGGCGGCGGCGGCGGTGCGGCGGACGGATTCACAGCGAGGGCCCTCCGTTGACTCCGTTGACTCGCGCCTGGCACCGCAAGGTCGCTCCCAGGGGGGCTGGTGCTAACGTCGTGATACGGGCGGCCTTCGGCCCATTCCAGGCGCAGCGAGAAGTGTACACGTGGCAGGGAAAGGCGCGAACACGTGGCGAGCACGAGAATAATCGGCACGAAGAGGGTGAGCGAGGCGAAAAGGCGGCGACGAGTGCGAGACGAGGCACCCCGCATCGCTTGATTCGGGCACGCTCCCTTCAACGGCGTTCGGATCTGCGGTTACGGGGAAGAATCTCAGCAAGGCGAAGACTAGGTTGCGCCAACTCGCCTAGTTGCGGAACAAGCGCGTTGCGGCGCTGCGCACGTCAGACAAGGTGGTGCTGGGTTTTTGAGGCACAACACAATACAAGGGAGAGCATACCTCAAAAGTCGCTGTAGTGTGGGAGAAACGAACAACCGCGCTACACCCTCGACACGGCGATTGAACGCGGGTGAGGATGAGAGAGAGTGATCGGTGCGAGTTCCGTGGGAGTGACAATGGCGGCTCGCTGTTGCGCGGGAGAAACGAACAACCGCGCTACACCCTCGACGCGGCGATTGAGCGCGGTAAAGGCTGGGAGTGATGGGCGCGACTTCCGTGACAGGAACGACATGGGCCGTGCTGCGCGCGACCACTGCGGCCCTCATCAGTCGAGCTCCCCAGCTACGCGCTCCAAACGGGTGAGGGGTGCATAGTTACGTGACGCGTGCACTAGGGAGGAGGTAATCACAGCAGCAAGTCGAACGTTCAGCTGACAGCCCCACTCATGTGGCCCCTGGTCGGTTCTGCGCCGCTCTCTGGGCTAGCAAGCAGCACGAATTTGCACAGGACGATTTGCAGAACCTAGGATTGCAGAACGATTATGTTGGGAGACGCAGGCGTGCAGCAACAGCAGTTCAGGAGCACCAGTTGTCTCGGGCAACGAGGATAATTGCCACCTCGCTAAAGCGAATCGTTGGCGAACTGAGTATTGGCTAATATCTTATGACGTATTATGTGGTGAAAGGAACCTGCCATTATGTGGCGAGGAAGAGGTTTGTTTGTTGGCATTGAAAGTGGGAAAAGAAAATATCCATCGCTGATGTGATACTAAATTGATAAATCGGGTATCATAAAAAAAATATACTGGATGTATGAAGATCAGCGATCTATGAACATTAGAATATGGTACCCATCCCAGAATAGCAGCCTCCGTAGCATCTGCAAAATGGATATACACTTGTAAGAAAGTGTTTGATGTGCAACTTTCAGAAAGGTCATCATAGGATCGCATGATTGATCACTTCGGCCACAAATTGGCTAGCCAGGGCTTGTTTCCGTGCAGGTATGTTTTGCATGATAGCAAAAAAGGTAACACTGCATTGTTTCTCCAAAGTGGAGGGGCCTATACCTGGTGGAATACAATAATCTAAAAACACATAATCGTATTTATTCAAACCTGTATACTCGTTTCCATCCCTCGCCGCTGCTCCCTACACATCACCTGCCGGCCGCTTCTTCCTCGAGTAGATTCTGCCGCTTCACCTGTCACCCCGTCTAGATTTTCCTGTCTCATCTCTCCATCTCCGTCCTTCTCACCCTCCCTGGGCACCCCCCCTTTGCCTTCCTTCCCTCCTCCGCGGTTGCTCCCAATCTGACCAAACGACCCCATGAATCGCTCTTCCATTCGCTCAATGGCACCCGCCACGCCACCGCTGCTGCTGCTGCTGCTGCTGCTGCTGCTGCTGCTGCTGCTGCACATGACTTCAAACACCATTCAGACTTGTAATTAGATTTGCTGATCACCACTGCTCCCCACTGCTCCCCGTGCCCTCATCTGCTCCCCATGCTCTCCCCTGCCACTACCGTGCATGACTCCTGCCCTCCCGCCTCACCCTCCGAAGCTTCCCCTCTCGCCTCTCCTCCGCCCTCACCCTCTCTACCCACAACCCCGCCTCCTCCCCCTCCTCCGTGGTTGCCCCCCAGGTGCCCAAAAGACCCCATGAATCGTTCCTCCATGCGCTCAATGGCTCCCGCCACACCGCCGCCGCTGCCGCCGCCGCTGAGAGGACTGCTGCTACTGCCACTGCCCACCTGAGAGTCCACCTGAGATCTCTCCTGAGGAATCCCCTGAGCGCCCTCTCCCTCTCCACTGCTGCCGTGTGCTGCTGCTGTGCTGTGATGCTGGGGCAGCAAGGAGTAGAGCGCCGAGTGCAGGAGGGCTGCAGGTGGGGCACGGAGAGAGAGGGAAGGGGCAGGGGGAGCGGGTTGTTGAGACGTCTCAAAAGTCGTGTGCTGCTGCTGTGCTGTGGTGCTGGGGCAGCAAGGAGTAGAGCGCTGAGTGCAGGAGGGCTGCCGGTGGGGCACAGAGAGAGAGAGGGGTTAGAGGGAGTGGGTTGGGGAGTGGGAGGTGACGGGAAGGGGAGACAAGAAGAAAAAAGACAATTGTATTGCAGCGAAGCAAGAGCGAGCATGTGAATTGCACACAGACAAGTGAGAGCAGGCGAGAGCGAGCACACGCTAGAGCAGGTTTGGCATATGGGAGCAGGTTTGGCATGTGATGTTAGTGTTAGCCTTCAATTCAATCTCACACTTTGCACTTAGTATTTTCTATATCCTAGAGTAGTGTAGTTTGCACATTGTGTTTGGTTGGGTGTACACCTATATCCCAACCAAACCCAAATGTAATCTCCAAGCAATCTCCAACCCACCAATTGGAGATTGCCTTGGAATTACCCCCAATCCCTAGGGATTGCCCCCGATTCCCTTCCCCATCCATTCCCTCCCCTTCTTGGATGTACTTAAAGAGCTTCAAGCTCATTACTAATGTATCGCTTCTAAGCCTAAGTTCTAACATGTGAGAGCAGGTTTGGCATGTGAGAGCAGGTTTGGCATGTGAGAGCAGGTTTGGCATGTGAGAGCAGGTTTGGCACATGGGAGCAGCTTTGGCATGTGACAGCAGCTTTGGCAAGGTACAAGCTGGTGTATAAATCGGGTCGAGAAAAAAGGTGTGGCTCAGGCAAAGGCAGTGCACAAGGCTTGACGGAGGGTGGCAACAGGTGGCATGCACAGAGAGGGAGCAGCATAGAGCCCCAGTGAGTGCGAGTGGGCATGGCAGCACGGCGGAACGCCCCTAGTGAGTGCGAGTGGGCATGGCGGCATGGCAGAACGCCCCTAGTGAGTGCGAGTGGTGCGGCTCACCCAGTGGGAGGGCAGCCCCCTTGAGGCGATGGCACATGAGGAGGTTTTCGAGGCGCCTTAAATACCATCGCAATGCTGTTGAGGCGCCTCAAATACCACCTCAAGTGGTGTGTGCCGCTCACCCAGTGGGAGGGCGAGGGCGGCACCAGCCACGGTGTGGAGAGCTGCCGCCCTGTGGCGATGGGAGATGAGGCGGTTTTTGAGGTGCCTCAATAACCACCTCAAGGGGTGTGTGCGACTCACCCAGGGGGGAAGCGAGGGCAGCACCGGCGACGGTGTGCAGAGCTGCCGCCTTGAGGCGATGGGCCGGCGAGGCGGTTTTTTTATGCGCCTCAAAAACCACCTCAGAAACCACCTCAATGCTGTTGAGGCGCCTAAGGAACCACCTCAAGAGGTGCGACTCACCCAGGGGGAAAGCGAGGGCAGCACCGGCCACGGTGTGGAGAGCACCCGCCTTGAAGCGATGGGCCGGCGAGGCACGGGTGGCTGGGGGGGAGAGGCAGGGAGGATGTGATGGGAGGTGAGGGTGGTGGGAATTGAGGAAAGCTTCACAGTACGAAGTACAGCAGTACAAGATAAGTGAGCGGCGGTAGGAAGAGAAAGACAGCAGGAGCCAGCAAGTGTGGAGATCGTGCAATTTAAAGTGCAAAGTTGGTGCAAGTGTGTTCCAACGCCATTTGAGCAAGATCACAGCAGCATGTTGGTTGGTGGGACTCCTGTGACTCCCTTCTAGGTCGGTCTGACTTTTGAGTCAACTCAAAAGTCAATTTGGTGGGACTCCTGTGGCCGCCTTCGAGGTCGGACTGATCCAACCCACTTCTTGCTGCCTCCCGTTCCTCTCCTTATAACATCTTCCTCACATTATGACGGACAGAAAGATTCATCTCCTTGTGATTTAAATTCGTCCACTCTTCTTCAACCCTCTGTGTTCACGACTCACAACCATCTGAGTTTTCCTTAGGCCTCGTTTCATTCACACGCCGTTGCACCCCGGTGCCAGCCCGCCACCCTCGCTGCACGCCATACCTCATTCCTCACGTCTGCCACCTTTGCTCCCATCCCAACAACAGAGTCCTCCTCTCTGCTACCTGCTGACAATCTCGCCTCTCCCCACCACTCAAGCGCTGCCTCCAACCCAGACAGACTCATGCCTCGAGCCACCTGAGCTAGCAGCTGTTGGCAGTGCTGGACCGCAGAGACATGGATCCAGCACTGCCAACAGCTGCTGGCTTGTCTACCCACACCCACGTGGTGGCACCATATGGATGGTACAACCCACCACTTCAGCCACACCTGCTCTGCTGATGGCCTCCACACCCACGTGGTGGCAGAACATGGATGGTACCATCCATGTGGTGATGGCCACACCCACCACTTCAGCCACACCTGCTCTGCTGATGGCCTCCATAGCTAAGTTGGAAAATACCCTCAGGTAGAGAATCGTATCACATTCGTACGCACCACTGCCGCTCACCCTCCTCTGCTCCCACGCACCACTGCCACTCACCCTCCTCTGCTCCCACGCACCACTGCCACTCACCCTCCTCTGCTTCCACGCACCACTGCGGACGCCACGGAAGGACTGATTCAACCCTTTACTGATCCAAGGTTGCTGCCGCCTCCCTTCACTCTACCAGCCTTTCTCGCATCCACTGCTGACGCTTCGGCTCCCATGCTTTACACGTCATCCCGATCCAAGCCAAGCCCTTATAAAGGATAGTGAGATATAGTGAGATATAGTGAGATCTAGTGAGATATAGTGAGATAGTGAGGCTGACAATGTCAGTGAGTGTGGGTGGGGATGTGATGGGAGTGGGGGGGGGGGGGGGGGGGGTGTGAAGCAACAAGGCAGGGAGAACTATCTTCATTGACTCACCAACCAATCCCACAAGCCCAGCTGTCACGGCACCAGCGCCAACAGTGCTTGCTACGTCAGGCTCACACAACTCCTCCCCTTGCCACCCCTTGCTACTTTGAGACGTCTCAAAACAACACTTTTATCACGTACCTATCGTGATTGACTCACCAACTAGCCCCACAAGCCCAGCTGTCACGGCACCAGCGCCAACAGTGCTTTTTGAGTCGACTCAAAAGTCAGCTCGCATGGAGAACTATCGTAATTGACTCACCAATTAGTCCCACAAGACCAGCAGTGATGGCACCAGCGCCAACAGTGCTTGCCACGTCAGGCTCACACAGCTCCTCCCCCTGCCACCCCCTGCTGCTTTGAGAAGTCCCTATCACGTACCTATCAGGATCCACTCACCGACTAATCCCACAAGCCCAGCAGTGAAGGCACCAGCGCCAACAGTGCTGACCACGTCAGGCTCACACAACTCCTCCCCCTGCCACCCCCTGCTGCTGCCCCTCCCCACGCCCCCAACCCCCTCTTCCCCACTTCTGCTACTGCTACTGCTACTGCTGCCACCGCCCTCCTGTGTGCGCCTCCTCTGTGCCACCCCCTCCTCTCTCCACTCCAGCATGAGAGCGCGCAGGCCCAGCTGCGAGGCGGAGAAGACGCCTGCCAGCGCGCCCAGCTGTGCGCCGCCTGCCACCGACGCCCTCACCACCCTCACCAGCCGCCGCTCCGCTGCCAGGCGAACAGTAGCATAGCGTGATGAGGGGGAGGAGTGTGGAGGGGCGTGAGGGGCGTGGGGGGCTGCTGCTGCGGTGGAGGGTGCTGCTGTGTGCTGCTGATGGTGGCTATGTTGCATCGAAAACGGAGAGGAGGCCTGGAGGGTATTGGGAATGGGACGGAAAGGTGACGGGAGGCAGTGTCACATGAAAGTCACAGAAACAGCCTGCCAGCGCGCCCAGCTGTGCGCCGCCCGCCACCGACGCCCTCACCACCCTCACCAGCCGCCGCTCCGCCGCCAGGCGGGCTGTAGCATAGCGCGACGAAGGGGAGGCGTGTGGAGGGGAGTGAGGGGAGGCGTCTAGGGGGGCGTGAGGCGCTGCTGCTGTGGTGGAGGGAGGTGCTGTATGCTGCTGCTGATGGTGGCTGTGGTGACTTGAAAACGGAGAGGAGGCCTGGAGGGTATTGGGAATGGGACGGAAAGGCGATGGGAAGCAGTGTCACATGAAAATCACAGAAACAGCCTGCCAGCGCGCCCAGCTGCGCACCACCCGCCACCGACGCCCTCACCACCCTCGCCAGCCGCCGCTCCGCCGCCAGGCAAGCCGCCGTGCAGCGCGACGACGAGGGGGAGGCGTGTGGAGGGGCGTGATGGGGGGTGTGAAGGTTGGTGCCGGGCGCTGCTGCTGTGGTGGAGGGCGGTGGTGCATGGTGCATCGAAAACGGAGATGAGGCCTGGAGGGCATTGGGAAGGAAAGGAAAGGTGAAGGGAGGAAGTGGCAATTCACCTGCCGCCCCTCTCACCTGCCGCCCCTCTCACCTGCCGCCCCTCTCACCTGCCGCCCCTCTCACCTGCCGCCCCTCTCACCTGCCGCCCCTCTCACCTGCCGCCCCTCTCACCTGCCGCCCCTCTCACCTGCCGCCCCTCTCACCTGCCGCCCCTCTCACCTGCCGCCCCTCTCACCTGCCGCCCCTCTCACCTGCCGCCCCTCTCACCTGCCGCCCCTCTCACCTGCCGCCCCTCTCACCTGCCGCCCCTCTCACCTGCCGCCCCTCTCACCTGCCGCCCCTCTCACCTGCCGCCCCTCTCACCTGCCGCCCCTCTCACCTGCCGCCCCTCTCACCTGCCGCCCCCTCTCACCTGCCGCCCCTCTCACCTGCCGCCCCTCTCACCTGCCGCCCCTCTCACCTGCCGCCCCTCTCACCTGCCGCCCCTCTCACCTGCCGCCCCTCTCACCTGCCGCCCCTCTCACCTGCCGCCCCTCTCACCTGCCGCCCCTCTCACCTGCCGCCCCTCTCACCTGCCGCCCCTCTCACCTGCCGCCCCTCTCACCTGCCGCCCCTCTCACCTGCCGCCCCTCTCACCTGCCGCCCCTCTCACCTGCCGCCCCTCTCACCTGCCGCCCCTCTCACCTGCCGCCCCTCTCACCTGCCGCCCCTCTCACCTGCCGCCCCTCTCACCTGCCGCCCCTCTCACCTGCCGCCCCTCTCACCTGCCGCCCCTCTCACCTGCCGCCCCTCTCACCTGCCGCCCCTCTCACCTGCCGCCCCTCTCACCTGCCGCCCCTCTCACCTGCCGCCCCTCTCAGCTGCCGCCCCTCTCAGCTGCCGCCCCTCTCAGCTGCCCCCCCTCTCAGCTGCCGCCCCTCTCAGCTGCCGCCCCTCTCACCTGCCGCCCCTCTCACCTGCCGCCCCTCTCACCTGCCGCCCCTCTCACCTGCCGCCCCCTCTCACCTGCCGCCCCTCTCACCTGCCGCCCCTCTCACCTGCCGCCCCTCTCACCTGCCGCCCCTCTCACCTGCCGCCCCTCTCACCTGCCGCCCCTCTCACCTGCCGCCCCTCTCACCTGCCGCCCCTCTCACCTGCCGCCCCTCTCCCTGCCTCTCCCCTGCCGCCCCTCTCGGCTGCCGCCCCTCTCAGCTGCCGCCCCTCTCACCTGCCGCCCCTCTCACCTGCCGCCCCTCTCACCTGCCGCCCCTCTCACCTGCCGCCCCTCTCACCTGCCGCCCCTCTCACCTGCCGCCCCTCTCACCTGCCGCCCCTCTCAACTGCCGCCCCTCTCAGCTGCCGCCCCTCTCAGCTGCCGCCCCTCTCACCTGCCGCCCCTCTCAGCTGCCGCCCCTCTCAGCTGCCGCCCCTCTCACCTGCCGCCCCTCTCACCTGCCGCCCCTCTCACCTGCCGCCCCTCTCACCTGCCGCCCCTCTCACCTGCCGCCCCTCTCACCTGCCGCCCCTCTCACCTGCCGCCCCTCTCACCTGCCGCCCCTCTCACCTGCCGCCCCTCACCTGCCGCCCCTCTCACCTGCCGCCCCTCTCACCTGCCGCCCCTCTCACCTGCCGCCCCTCTCACCTGCCGCCCCTCTCACCTGCCGCCCCTCTCACCTGCCGCCCCTCTCAGCTGCCGCCCCTCTCAGCTGCCGCCCCTCTCAGCTGCCGCCCCTCTCAGCTGCCGCCCCTCTCACCTGCCGCCCCTCTCACCTGCCGCCCCTCTCACCTGCCGCCCCTCTCAGCTGCCGCCCCTCTCACCTGCCGCCCCTCTCAGCTGCCGCCCCTCTCACCTGCCGCCCCTCTCACCTGCCGCCCCTCTCACCTGCCGCCCCTCTCACCTGCCGCCCCTCTCAGCTGCCGCCCCTCTCAGCTGCCGCCCCTCTCAGCTGCCGCCCCTCTCAGCTGCCGCCCCTCTCAGCTGCCGCCCCTCTCAGCTGCCGCCCCTCTCAGCTGCCGCCCCTCTCACCTGCCGCCCCTCTCACCTGCCGCCCCTCTCACCTGCCGCCCCTCTCACCTGCCGCCCCTCTCACCTGCCGCCCCTCTCACCTGCCGCCCCTCTCACCTGCCGCCCCTCTCACCTGCCGCCCCTCTCACCTGCCGCCCCTCTCACCTGCCGCCCCTCTCACCTGCCGCCCCTCTCACCTGCCGCCCCTCTCACCTGCCGCCCCTCTCACCTGCCGCCCCTCTCACCTGCCGCCCCTCTCACCTGCCGCCCCTCTCACCTGCCGCCCCTCTCACCTGCCGCCCCTCTCACCTGCCGCCCCTCTCACCTGCCGCCCCTCTCACCTGCCGCCCCTCTCACCTGCCGCCCCTCTCACCTGCCGCCCCTCTCAGCTGCCGCCCCTCTCAGCTGCCGCCCCTCTCACCTGCCGCCCCTCTCACCTGCCGCCCCTCTCACCTGCCGCCCCTCTCAGCTGCCGCCCCTCTCAGCTGCCGCCCCTCTCAGCTGCCGCCCCTCTCACCTGCCGCCCCTCTCACCTGCCGCCCCTCTCACCTGCCGCCCCTCTCACCTGCCGCCCCTCTCACCTGCCGCCCCTCTCACCTGCCGCCCCTCTCACCTGCCGCCCCTCTCACCTGCCGCCCCTCTCACCTGCCGCCCCTCTCACCTGCCGCCCCTCTCACCTGCCGCCCCTCTCACCTGCCGCCCCTCTCACCTGCCGCCCCTCTCACCTGCCGCCCCTCTCACCTGCCGCCCCTCTCACCTGCCGCCCCTCTCACCTGCCGCCCCTCTCACCTGCCGCCCCTCTCACCTGCCGCCCCTCTCACCTGCCGCCCCTCTCACCTGCCGCCCCTCTCACCTGCCGCCCCTCTCACCTGCCGCCCCTCTCACCTGCCGCCCCTCTCACCTGCCGCCCCTCTCACCTGCCGCCCCTCTCACCTGCCGCCCCTCTCACCTGCCGCCCCTCTCACCTGCCGCCCCTCTCACCTGCCGCCCCTCTCACCTGCCGCCCCTCTCACCTGCCGCCCCTCTCACCTGCCGCCCCTCTCACCTGCCGCCCCTCTCACCTGCCGCCCCTCTCACCTGCCGCCCCTCTCACCTGCCGCCCCTCTCACCTGCCGCCCCTCTCACCTGCCGCCCCTCTCACCTGCCGCCCCTCTCACCTGCCGCCCCTCTCACCTCTCAGCTGCCGCCCCTCTCACCTGCCGCCCCTCTCACCTGCCGCCCCTCTCACCTGCCGCCCCTCTCACCTGCCGCCCCTCTCACCTGCCGCCCCTCTCACCTGCCGCCCCTCTCAGCTGCCGCCCCTCTCAGCTGCCGCCCCTCTCACCTGCCGCCCCTCTCACCTGCCGCCCCTCTCACCTGCCGCCCCTCTCACCTGCCGCCCCTCTCACCTGCCGCCCCTCTCACCTGCCGCCCCTCTCACCTGCCGCCCCTCTCACCTGCCGCCCCTCTCAACTGCCGCCCCTCTCAACTGCTGCCCCTCTCAGCTGCCGCCCCCTCTCACCTGCCGCCCCTCTCACCTGCCGCCCCTCTCAACTGCCGCCCCTCTCAGCTGCCGCCCCCTCTCACCTGCCGCCCCTCTCACCTGCCGCCCCTCTCACCTGCCGCCCCTCTCACCTGCCGCCCCTCTCACCTGCCGCCCCTCTCACCTGCCGCCCCTCTCACCTGCCGCCCCTCTCAGCTGCCGCCCCTCTCAGCCTGCCGCCCCTCTCACCTGCCGCCCCTCTCACCTGCCGCCCCTCTCACCTGCCGCCCCTCTCACCTGCCGCCCCTCTCACCTGCCGCCCCTCTCACCTGCCGCCCCTCTCACCTGCCGCCCCTCTCACCTGCCGCCCCTCTCACCTGCCGCCCCTCTCACCTGCCGCCCCTCTCACCTGCCGCCCCTCTCACCTGCCGCCCCTCTCACCTGCCGCCCCTCTCACCTGCCGCCCCTCTCACCTGCCGCCCCTCTCACCTGCCGCCCCTCTCAGCTGCCCCCCCTCTCAGCTGCCGCCCCTCTCACCTGCCGCCCCTCTCACCTGCCGCCCCTCTCACCTGCCGCCCCTCTCACCTGCCGCCCCTCTCACCTGCCGCCCCTCTCACCTGCCGCCCCTCTCACCTGCCGCCCCTCTCACCTGCCGCCCCTCTCACCTGCCGCCCCTCTCACCTGCCGCCCCTCTCACCTGCCGCCCCTCTCACCTGCCGCCCCTCTCACCTGCCGCCCCTCTCACCTGCCGCCCCTCTCACCTGCCGCCCCTCTCACCTGCCGCCCCTCTCACCTGCCGCCCCTCTCACCTGCCGCCCCTCTCACCTGCCGCCCTCTCACCTGCCGCCCCTCTCACCTGCCGCCCCTCTCACCTGCCGCCCCTCTCACCTGCCGCCCCTCTCACCTGCCGCCCCTCTCACCTGCCGCCCCTCTCACCTGCCGCCCCTCTCACCTGCCGCCCTCT